AGATCTCTGCTGGCAGGTCTTCTGACGGTTGACATTGATACTAGCTACTACATTCTCTACATACTCTTATGGCGCCTATGCTGCGCGCTGCAGGCTCCAAATGAATTAGCCAATCACCTTGCGCACGTCCATCGCGTCATACGCGCACTGTTGCACTGAGGCCAGCCAATAAGATTCACTCTCGACAATGTCGAGTTTTTGTCGCAGATCGACAGGTCGACCATTCCTATTAGAGATACTGACCTACTCTGAGTCAAGACGTTATTTCTAAGGACATAAAAGATCAAGAATCCAACAATTGGACCATCCACCAAAAAGCCCACATTGAAGGCTGGATGATTCACTGATTAGTTGCAACTTTGCCATGCAGTGGCGGAATATCGCCGAAACACGTGTATCTGTGCCTTTGGCGAGTACCTGGACTGCCCGTAAGATAAATAATTGCGTACGTAAGTAATCGTTTCAGTTAGCAGTTAAAGTTAGTGTGGAGGAAATTATTCTCGGCATAATTGCATGTCCTGCAGCTTGGAATTTCGAAAGCCCACTGTGTGCATGAGTTATGAACGCGCCAATCCTGCCTCAAGCTAACAAGGTGCAATTTGATATCCTTGGGTAGATTGTCTGGCATTTTTTATTTGGACTGTGGTATTTTATTTATTTTTCGGTAAACTTACATGATTTGCACATTTTCACATCTCCCGGCTGGTAGCATGACTTCGCGACTATAATTTAGGCGTAGATGTTTGAAGATGAGCATCCCAAGGAATATACGTCGTGTTCGATTGCTAGGACGCCTCTTGTTCTAAGCAGCTCCTAAATATTTGAGTGGAGATTGGAGGGTCATAGTTCACTGCACCTGAAAGCCAGATGAATGATGCTACCTCAAATCAGCATATACGAAAGAAAAGAGGGAAAAGAGAGTTAACGCAAATCACAGTCAGGATTAAACCTAGGCAACCGATTATCTCAGCAATTGGAGATTGACCATATAGTCTAGCTGCTTGTTTAGGTCCGGTTCTTTCGCCGTATGCAGGCTGCTTCCAAATAGCGCAGGGTCTGATTTGTTCGTGTCCGAACAAGTTCTCGGAAAGCTGTTTGGAGGTCGAAAAGGTGACTACTGTCTCGCAGATGTTAAGTAATCGGGGCCGTGATACTCTATATTCTTGCTTGCAAAGCCAATTATGCAAATGCTAAGCGGCCCTGGTTGCCAGTTGCTGTCGTGTTCGCCCAATGTACGTGCATACACAAGTGCACGCAAATTTATATTAAGAAGAGAAAC